AGACACAGAATCAGAAACAGGCTCCAGGCTCTGAGCCATCAGCCCAGAGCCTGACGCGGGGCTCGAACCCACGGACCGCGAGATCGTGACCTGGCTGAAGTCGGACGCTTAACCTACTGCGCCACCCAGGCGCCCCCAGAAACAAGCTTCTTGAGAGAAATGGTGGGTCCCAGGCCCAGGGTTGGGAAGGAACAAGATGACCCTGGACCACCATGCAAGGAATTAAGGAAGTACTCTCATAACTAAAGGTTCAGGTCCCAAGGACACCAGAGCCAGCTTGAGGGTGTCCCAGTGACCAAATTTGGGACATCAGATTTGGGTATCAAAGTAAGTAAGGACAGTACTTAATATAATCCACTGGGCAGAGGGTAATCCATGAGCTCATACTGATGTTAGGAGATAAATTTTTATATAGGTATATGCATCCACAGGGAAAAGGAATGTAAAGAAATAAGTAGAGAGGATTGTGGATGGTATTAGAAAATCATAATTTTGCAGCTATCAGAGTAAAAACCAACTCAGGGACAAATCATCAATATCTGAAGAACAGGCTATTTATGTAATCTCCAGGTATCTCCCCAAAAGTTGCTTATTAATTACAAAAGGAAAATAGTTAACTATATAGTGGAGAAACTGGGCACCAGCTTAACCACATCATCAGAATCAGTATACCGGTAATGGAACAGAGAGGCTGCTGGCTGTCCTGGAAGGACACATCAGTTATGTCTTACAATAAAAAATCCGTAACTTTGATCATAAAGATAAAGCAGATAAACCAGTTTGAGGGACATTCTATAAAATATCTGACCCATATTCTTCAACAATACTCATGCCGCAGGCTGTTCCAGATTAAAGGGGACAAAGAGGCATGTTAACAAAATGTCAGATGTGATCGAGAAATGCAGTCCATTCTGTCCTGAAATGCAGTGCAAACATTTTTGGTGAACAAACATTTTAGAGCCAGTTGATGAAATTGGACTGTGGATTAGATCATAGTTTTATATTAATGTTCAGTGTCTGCGATTTGGTATCTATATGGACTGTGATTAGGAAGGAGAATATTCTTATTCTTGAAAAATACACACTGAAGTACTTAGAGGTAAAGGGACATGGTATGTGCAACTTAATCTCAAATGTTTCAGGAAGAATAAGTGAGAGAGCATATAGACTGAGGGAGAGAGAGAGGGAACGCAGCTGTGGCAAAGTAACAGCGAATCTGGATGAAAAGTAATTGGTTCTAGGTACTGTTCTTGAAACTTTTCTAGAAGTGTGAGATTATTTCAAACTAGAAAGTTAAAAAAAAATCTGTGAAAGAAGTTTAGAGCATTGTAGTAACAACACTTTTAAATTTCCTTCTACATACATTGTTGTCTACTCATCAAATAAATCAGGTGCAGCATTTCATAGCTGGTCACACCGTCCAGGCCATCACCACCCCTGTCCCCAGAGGACATAAAGGTCAGTTGGACCCAGGGCACCCAGTCTGTGTGGCAAAGCTGTATCCTGACTTTTTCTGGAATTCATGAGGGGCCTCTGGTCAGAGCTCCCACAGCCACCCTGGATTAGGCCACCGTAAACGCCTTGGAAAGAACCCAGTTGAATGTGCCTGATGAATTGATCCGGCTTGCCCCCTCACAACTTCTCACTCAGACTGATCATTTTCATGGCTCCTCAGGACTGTAAGAGGTGCAGGAAGGAGCCAGTTTTCTTCCATGTCCATTAGAGAATTTTTTTTTAAGTTTATTTATTTATTTTGAGAGAGACAGAGACAGCATGAGTAGGGGAGGGACAGAGAGAGGAGACAGAGAATCCCCACAGAGCCTGATGTGGGGCTTCAACTCATGAAACCATGAGATCATGACCTGAGAGGAAACCAAGAGTCGGACACTTAACTGAGTGAGCCACCTTGGTGCCCTTAGAGAATTTCTAGAAAAATGTTATCCCCGTAGCTATGAAAATAAAGCCCAGTAACTCATTTTGTAAGATATTTATGATAACAGATTCAAAAATAAGCTAATGCTCTCAAGTTCAGGTAAAAAGAAAGAGTTCTATTACTGTTTACTTACTTGTGCTAGAACCGCAAGTCACATTCCTCACAGACCGTTAAGGATATGAGGTATTTAAGGTGAGATAGCTCTTTGTGTTGGCACTTTCAAAAAAAAAAAAAAGTGTCAAAAATAACAATAAGGAGAATGTGTGTAATTGAAGTCTTCAGGGTTTTTTAATGAATCATTTTCCTTGATCCTCCCAGAATGACAGCAGGTTAACAGCATTAACTTCTTCCTTGCTCTGGTATGAAAAGATGTAAATATGTGAGAGGCTGTTTTTAACATATGCTTCCTTATTCATCATTAATTTTCTAAACCTTGTTTCTTGTGTTTACTAGTTTTCTTGAAAATGGTCATTACAGACTGTCATTGCCTTAAAACCCAGGTTCTTCCCTGGCATTGTTTATTATGTGGACCCTTGGCAATTTTTGCGATAGGTGCTAGCCAAGCTGTAAAAGAGGGGAAAAAAATGTTCTTGCCCTCAGGACATTGACAACAATGTTTAGAAATGTATAGTTAATATATAATCTCTTGGTTAGTTAGTTGAGGCTAGACACTATGTAAAATATTATCTATTAGTAACGTAGTAAGATAGCTTGGACGAACAAAACCTCTTGATGCTTAATTCTTCAATTAAATGTGCTGTATCTTTTAAATATCAGAGTCATGCAATTTTAATGCATTAGGGAACTTAATAATTCTCTAAGTCAAGAACAATGAAAACTATTGTTTTCTGTTTTTCTGATGTAAAAAAAATACTTAAGGAATTTTAGTGAGAGTTCTTTCAGTTCGGAAAACAAAGAATATTCTAAGAATGAATGTGCATCTCTTATTACATCTCATAATAGTCTAACATACAGCCATAGAAAAATTTTGCCACTTTTTCTACTTCTGCTGTTGGTAAGTTCCTGAATTTTTGGGTCTTCACAGTCTACTGTTTTTCAACAAGTGGACTCAACACCTTTGCCAGTTTAGTGCCCCTTGAAGATGCCGTCCCCAGCCACCCCCTGTTTTAAAAAAATTTTTTTAGGGGCGCCTGGGTGGCGCAGTCGGTTAAGTGTCCGACTTCAGCCAGGTCACAATCTCGCGGTCCATGAGTTCGAGCCCCGCGTCAGGCTCTGGGCTGATGGCTCAGAGCCTGGAGCCTGTTTCCGATTCTGTGTCTCCCTCTCTCTCTGCCCCTCCCCCGTTCATGCTCTGTCTCTCTCTGTCGCAAAAATAAATAAACGTTGAAAAAAAAAAAATTTTAAAAAAAAAAAAAATTTTTTTTAATGTTTATTTCTGAGAGAGAGAGCAAGTGAGGGAGGGGCTGAGAGAAGGAGACAGAGGATCCGAAGCAGGCTCTGTGCTGACAGCAGAGAGCCCGATGTGGGTCTCGAATTTATAAACCATGAGATCATGGCCTGAGCTGAAGTCAGATGCTTAACCTACTGAACCACCCAGGTGCCCCCAGCCCCAGTCCCTTTTAAGAACCTGTCAAAAACAAGTGCCACCCTATAAAAACTCTTTTTAATAATAAAATGTGCTCAAATGTCTAATATCTTAAAAAGAAATAGATACGTTATTCCATTTCTCTTTCTTCTTTTCTTTTTAAACAGGGATTTTCATATTACACCTATAGTCAAAAATAACAATGAACTTCTGTCATTAGCCTCCTACTTTTTTTTTAATCAAAGGAGGAAAAAACTTACCAAGTTTGTCTTTCTTGAACCCTTCTACGCTTAGAAAATGACCCTTAAGGGGCGCCTGGGTGGCGCAGTTGGTTGAGCGTCCGACTTCAGCCAGATCACGATCTCGCGGTCCGTGAGTTCGAGCCCCGCGTCGGGCTCTGGGCTGATGGCTCAGAGCCTGGAGCCTGTTTCCGATTCTGTGTCTCCCTCTCTCTCTGCCCCTCCCCCGTTCATGCTCTGTCTCTCTCTGTCCCAAAAAAGAAATAAATGTTGAAAAAAAAAATTTAAAAAAAAAAAAAAAAAAGAAAATGACCCTTAAGTTTATCCTTAATGGAATACATAGGTAAAAACGGGCAAGGAAATTAAGCCGGACTAAACCAAGCTAGGGCTCGACAGAGGGAAGATAAATGGACTGGTACAGATTCCAGCTTCCTGCCTTCCCGTCACACTTCTTTACCTCCTAATCAGCCAAGAATTACCAGCTGTCTGCTCTGCATCAGGCTGGCCACTGGGCTAGGTTCTTGAAATACAGAGATAAATAAGGCATAATTTCCTGACCTCAAGTGGTGCAGAGCCCGGTATGGGGAGCCAGGCTCAGCGACATCTCTAGTCAACTGTGCAGAAGTATTCCAGTGCCACTGAAACTAAGAAAGGACTGCCAGTGCAGGGGGCGGGGAAGGCAGCTCCCATAGTCCTGCCACCGGGTGTGAACTCCCACTTCTATGCTGTAGGCCCTGAGGAACCATGGCAGGATCTTAAACCGGGAGTCACATCATGGGGTTCCCCTGGAGGGTGGACTACCCATGGAGGAAGGGGCGTATTATAACCATAATGTAACTTATTCCATCCCTGCCCAGGAAATATGCTTACGAGTGCTTACGAGACTCTTGCTTTAGTAGGTTGATAATACGTGAGACCCGTCCTGTGGATTCCACTCATGGCATCCAAAATATTCATTGACCCGACTAGAGAGAGAATGGCCTTCAGCACACAGAACACTTTCAGTCTTAGCTGATAAATAGCAAAATGCACTTAGTCAGGAGAATCTTAATCTTAGTGAGGTTTTCTTCTCTCTTCCCTTCTCCAGAATCTTCACCACTGTCACCATAAAAACTCACCTGATACAAACAGTTCCCCCTCACTAACATGTATGTATTTTGGGGTACACTTTGTACTTCTGTGTATTTATAATTGTGAGTTGGGAACTGGTCCAGCAGTGACTCAGCTTTTATTTCCCTGGTGATGGCGGGCTCCATGAGGGCTAATCCCATCTCTTCCTGTTTGCCACGCCACATGGAGCCTGACACACAGAAGGTGCCCGATGGTGGTTAGAGCAGGGCTAAACGTGAAGGTGTGAGAGTGGTATTATGTCAGACTTTTCCATCTGTAGGCTGGAAATAGGTTTTCTCAGAGAATAGCAAAGCTAACTGTGTTAGAATGAAATATTGTGTGGCAGTCAAATAATTAACTAACTTTGGGGGGGTGGGGGGTGCCTCATTCTGCTGGGTCTTCTAAAAGATATAAGCAGTGGAGCTCATCCAGTCTGTTGTGAGGGCCTTCTCAGTACCAAAGCCTGAGCAAAGCAGAAATGCAAAAATAAGGGGCCTGTGAGCAGCCTGTAGCCAGACAGGAGCATAAAATAACCAGAAACCATTCACTCCCCCAATGTGTGTGGTCAAAGGGGTTCAGCATTTCTGAGGAGGAGGGGAATGGCCAGGTATCCAGGGGAGAGAAGCACACTGAACCACAGGTGACCTGACCGTGCACTTGGCAGTGGGGAAGCCACGAGGTAGGAGAGTCAGCTTGCCCTGAGCGGCAACATGGTTGTTATAATGAAGGGGAGGGAAGGGTGAGCCACATCCCCAAGACTTCTGCTGGGGTGCTCCTCCCGGCAGGGCGTGCGTGTGGCCCAGATGGTGTTGTGCCGTGAGGGGGCAACCAGAGTGGGATTGGGGCGGGCATCATTCAGGTGGGCATCACTTCCTGCAAGTGTCAGAATTTGGGAAGTAGAACCCAAAAACCGTTTGCTTTTGACACCCTTAGCTAAAGGGAAGTTAAAGAAAACCACAGTCTTCACTTGAACAAAACAAGAGGAGTATGTCACTGAGAGGAATTGCCATGTTTCATTGGGATGAACATCCTGATTCACTGGTGCCAGAGAGTAGTTGCATCGTCGGTAGAAGGCAAAGTAGGACTTCATTTATTTTCTTGAGTGAGAATTAGCTCGAGGTCGGAGTCCCACATGTCCCAAATCATAGAGGATTGTTTTTTGTTTTTTGTTTTTTATTTTTGTTTTTTCTAAGGAAAGGAAAACTGATAGGGAATTTATTTCCATCCCTATAGGTTTCTTTTCTTGTTCAACAGGGTCTTTCTTTGGAAAACGTATTCTAGGAAAAACTCATTCTGCCGTGTCTGTCTTCAGAGCACTGCCATCGGTGGTGGGAGAGCTCACCTGCGGTACCTGCTCCTGTCCACGTTCCCAGCCTTGTGTGGGGCTGGCACACGGGGGGCCTCGGGCCCTTGACCAAGAGCTGCCAGCAGAGTCACAGGTCGCTGGGGGGATGTGCCACACGGCTAGGCTACAATTCCAGTACCCGCCCCTCGTTGCGGACCCTTACGCAGAGATACCTCTGAACCTTCCTCTAGAAAGTCAAGTCTTCAGTTACAGAAGACAGGCATCTGGGGTTACACTCAGGCACCTTCTGTTTTTATGAATGAGGGATGTGGGAGACAGGAGGGCCTAACACTCTGCATGTTATAACCCAATTACTGTTTAAAGCAAATAGAGAAAAGGATTATTTTGTTTAGACTAGAAACCCAGATGAACTCTATTCTGATGTTCTGTGGTGAGAATGTTTAGACAGAAGATTCCCTGTGATGCATGAGCAGAAGGAGGGGACTTACTGTGCTCCAAGATGGAGAAGGAATGTTGAAAGAAACGCTTTTCAGAAAATTCGATGGGCCTTTTTTTTTTTTTTTTTTTTTTTTTGGTAAGTTTCCCAGACAGACCACTGCAAAGCCAGCCAGTCTGAGACTGACTGAGACACCAGGTGTGCATCTGCAGGTCTCGTGGTGGCAGCGGGTGTGTGCAGCGTCCTGAGTGTTTTACCAGCTTTATCATTCCAGCCCCAAGCTGTTTATTGGTGGTCTTCCCCCAGCAGACGGTCAGTTCCTTAAAGAACTTACATCACTAAACTGAAACTCCTTCTCTAGCCACTGCTGGGCACGTTCTGTGTGCCAGGCTCTGTGTCAGGTGGGGGACACAGCAGGCACAGTCCCAGCCCACACGGAGCTCATTGTCTGCCTGCTGGGGAAGACCGACAATACGGAAGTCACTAATCCCAGCTCACCGAGGATACTTCACACAGACCCTCGGGGAGTCTGTGAACATTCGGTGAATGAATGACATTCATATACTGTCCACAACTTGACTTAAACCGATCAGGAGGTGTTTTTGTATTTTTATCTTATAGTCAAGACCATGGACTTTTCTCTTCCCATGGACATTCTATCTGATCAAGTAACAGGTAGCTCTCATTCCAAGAGCTGAACTGAAAAGACAAGAAACAGCCTGTAGAGGAAACAAATTAGGTTTCCAGTGTGATTTGATGTGTTATGTGGCTAATATATATGCCTTGGATGGGGAGGGAGGTGAACTGAGTATCTGTAAATACCATTATTTATATAATCATCACAGCTGAATATTTGCTAGAATGTATACAAATATAAAGTTTTCTAAGAGTCACTAAAATAATGTGGGCTTTTAGAATTTTATGCTCACCTTTTAAGAAAAGATTTTTCCTATCTTTTCTACTTCATCTGGGCTCACCATGTTAGTTTTCTTAGGCCAGTTCTTGCATGTGCCATTTAAACACTGGAAATATGTAACAAATCATTCTGGCGTTGGTTTTAAGCGTGGCTGTGTTTAACTGTGGCAGGATGTGTACATGAGGGCGAATTTCACCTTGAACCCCGTTTGACCGAGCGTCCCGGGAGGGCTGATTTTCTGCCCAACACTCCTTCCAGCCGCTCAGTGCTCACTGGGGCTCCCTGAGAACACACATGTGCTTGATCATTGTAAAACACACATCAGTTCTTCAACCAACAAAGGATATAAAGCAAGTAAAGTGAAAGCAGCTCAAGTGAATGCTGAAAACCAAATCCAGGGGTGGTTTTGTCAGGCTGTGGGAACCTCTGAACTGAGGCCGCAAGGGTCACAGGGAAGGACTCGCACATCTGGGCCAGTCAGTCTTCAGCAGGGTGAGAATTATGACCGGGCCATGCTCACTGAGCACCTGTCAGGCGCCAGCTACCAGGCGACCAGGCCAGGCCCTTCACTCACATCTCTTATCCCCAGACTGTGGGCGCACTGAGAGCCCACGGTGTAGTGGCCCACCTGACTCACGCGGTGAATACATGGCGTATGGGGGCCTGAGCCCAGAGCTCAGACTCTCCCTGCCCACTGACAGGCTCACCCCCTCCCAGCAGTGGTGGCTGGGATGACTCTCTGGCACTTGGGTAACATCTAAAACGGCTGCCAGCCTCCTCTGTGTTTTTCTTTGAAGGAATTGGGCACTTCGGGAAGCCTGTGTGTATTTGCACATCTGACCACAGGTCTGCATAGGTCTCGGTTTTCTCTTTCTGCCATTTGAGCACAGGAGTTCGTGTTTCACGTGCTAATGCAACCTTCACACAGAGACAATGACAGAGTGCGCTAGCACTGTGCAAGTTGGGCTTCTCCGCACAGGGAACTATAAGTCCGCGACAAGTAAAGGCTGCATTGTTATAATTGTTACATGATAACGAGATTGTTCTGCCACCCAGGGGAGCTGGAGATCCCCAGTTCGGCTCCAGTTCTTATATCTGGATGTGAGCTTTGAACCAGCTCCCAAGAAAGGACAGCAGTGGGGTGTACGGCCCCCTTCCAGGCAGCCTCCACTGAGAGATGCCAGCAGTTAGAAAACACCTGTTGAACCTGCTGTCTCTCTGCTTCTCGTCTTTTCTGGCTGATTGTTGTCCACATTCCTAAGCTCAAGTATACAATTTCATTTTTCCTTAGATATTTACTATTTGGGACACCAGAGGAAATGTACAGATACACTTTCTTTTTTTTTTTTTTAAATATATGAAATTTATTGTCAAATTGGTTTCCATACAATACCCAGTGCTCATCCCAACAGGTGCCCTCTCAATACAGATACACTTTCTTAGTGTAATTGTTCAGTTTTTAAAAAGAACTGTTAACATTATTTCTACTTTGTTTTTTCATCTGGTTAAAGCACCAGGTGGTTCCGCCGTGAAAATTCTGCAATCACACTTTTCTTCTCACCCCTAAACAATGCAGAAAGCTCTGAAGCCAGCTTTGGCTATCTGAAGCCAGCTTTGGCTAAAGGGGCACGGTTGCCGGCCTCCAGAGGATGGACAGCCAGTGGCCTGCCGCAAGCTTCTAAGTACATCAAATGCGCTTCTCAGCAAAACCTGTGAAAAACACGGCCCAGTTGCCAAAACCAACAACGGTGCACATGTGGTTGTTCGTTTCTGAGAGACTGAGTGAACTCAGGAGGAAGCCTCACATGCAGAGAAGGCTTCTCCACACCGACATCACGTATGTATGTAGGACACGACCCGGCCATCGAAGGCCTGAGGGGTCCCCTCCAAGGTGGTGCAGCCCGTGCTGGAACTGTGCTTTGGTGGCCTATATGGCCAGCCCATCATCAGCCTCCAAGCCAAATTCAGAGTCCATGGAGGGAAGACTCAAGCACCAGCTGGAAGTTGTGGCCTAGCACCCTCACCTGCTGGCGGTGGGGGCCTGGCTCACACGCCATCAGCTCCAGTATGAATCACAATTTGGCAGATAGATACTTTTATTCCTGCTGGCGAGGTGCCAAGAAGCAGCCAGTCTTTAGCTGTGCTTGAAGCACCAACGGTGACAAAGCGGTGATCGTGAATGTCGTGTGAGCCAAACTGAAGTCGTTAAGGACCGCCACGTTGCTGGGTGGTAGCGTCGTGTTTGTGGTAACAGAGAGAAGGCAGGTGGAGCTGCCCACCTCCTCCTGGGCCACATTAGCTCCACTAAAGATAGTGGTTCTTAACTGTCAGTTACTGGAATAAACGTCATTAAAGGTTATTTCAATCCAGGAAATGACCTAGGAAGGATCACCTGGATTTGACGTGCGCCCAGCCCAGGTCCTCGAGTATGCTGCTCGGGGTAGAGAAAGCAGGGCGGGTCATACTGTTCGAAATCCCCCCAAGGAAAGAGGAAAATGTGGATCCTCGTAATCAAATGGCAAAACTGATGTTTCACGTTTGGCAGAGCCTAAAATAGAGCATCAGATGACTTGAGTGTTAAGAAGAGTGTTGTGGTCTGTCGACACCACCCTGCTCCTGCTCACACAGGATGTCATCAAGACATCTGACGACTGTAAGAGATACATTGGTGACATGTGGAATGGATAATAATATGAAGTGGGCTTTAAACCAGTTAAAAATCTCTAAAAAGACCAAAAAAAAGTTGGTCAGCCACTTGAATAGAAAGGGAGGTCTGTAGTGAGTTTGGGGCCCTACCTTTGATTTTTACCTGCTTGACATTTTCATCAGTCACTTGACGGGGACATTATAGAGGTTTGCTACTCCAGTTCGGGGGTGATAAAATTTTGAGGGATCTGAGTAACCTAGGAGACAACAGAATTGAAACTGAAATTAGGGGTGCCTAGGTGGCTCTGTTGGTTAAGCATCCGACTTCAGCCCAGGTTATGATCACAATGGTTCATGGGTTCGAGCCCTGCATCGGGCTCTGTGCTGACAGCTCAGAGCCTGGAGCCTGCTTCGGATTCTGCACACGAGCACAGGCACATGCCCATACACACGTGTGCACGCTGCCGAAGTGTTCCACTGCTGTGACAAGGGCTGCGAGCACAGGACAGCAGCAACGGGAGAGCATTGGGGGGGGGGGGGCGCTTCACTGGACAGAGATGGATCCTGGAGCACAGGAATGAAGAAAGCAGCCCCGGCCCCCATTCTCAGGAGGCTTACAACACAGTGACAGGGAGCCCAGGACACAGGTCAGTGGAGCCACAGAACTTTTTGTCTGGGCTTCCTTCTGGTCTGGGAGAATGGGAAAGGGCCAGGTGCCCCCAGAGTCAGTGGATGAAGAGGAGCTACCGAGGCCAAGGGCAGAGGAAAAGAGCCTTCTGGTAGAGGGACCCTGGCAGTAAAGGCAAGAGAGGCTTCCACGGCACCCGGGCCGGACCAGGAGCTGGGGCACTGGCCTGGAGCAAGAAAGATGGGGGAGGATGGCCTTCAGACCTTCAAAGTGCTTCACCCAAGAAAGGGACTAGGATTGTTTTCTGTTACTTGAAAGGGTGAAATTAGGACCTTTGAAGTCCCACGGATGACAGCGAGAGGCAGATTCTGCTTCTGTGGAGGAAGAACTGTCCATCTTGGCCAGTAAGTGAGGGAGTGTTTGTGATACCCTGGGAAAGGTGGTTCTTTCCTTGAGCAGGAAATGAAAGCAGAAGATTCTTGTCGTTCTGTCCACACTGTCCCCCAGCCCGGGCAGTGGGTCTCCCACATGTGACGGCCTTTTTCCCAGGCACCAAGCGTCCCTTCAGAAAACAGCTGTCAGGTGTCTCGCCACAGCCCACAGCAAGAGATGCCTGCAGCAGACACGTGTGTGCGTGTGGAGAACGGAAAGGAAGCTTTCTGGAAGGAGGGCCCTCGCTGCATACATTTTTTAATGCTTCTCTTAACCCACTGAGTGTTCGTGACGCACTCTTGAGGGATCACAGCCTCGGTTTGGAAAACACGAGCTAGAACCCGCCTCTCAGAAGTGTCGCCTGCATGTCTGCCTCTGCTCAGCTCGGTTAGCATCTGTGTCCCTGAGGCTCCTTGAGGAAGGAGGGGTCTGGGTGTGGGCAGGGCATAGAGCTTACTCCCATCTCCTCCCCTGCCACCCACTG